CTCTGACAAGCCCTGGACAGCAAGGCCCGCTCGGAACTGGGCGGGGTTTGTAGGGCTCTACAAGGCGTTGCCACAGCCCACCACTAGATGGCGCCACAGTCCCGCCTCCACCTCGCGGGCAAACGCACGGTTCACCGCAGTCCTGGAGGCCGCTCCGAATACACCAGAGAGTCTGGTCCGGGCGAGCCGGAGGGCTCTCCCATAAGCGCCCCATGTGCAAGCCTGCCTCTCAAGATGTGTGCCAGACCGTTAATAAGAAGCCGCGGGAACCCCTGTGGGGAATCTTTGCGGGAACCCCTGCAGGGACGTTTGCAGCAGGCGTCTTTGGGATCACAGTTGTCTCAAGGAGACGCCAGAACAGTGGCCTCTTCCACTGCCCACTGCACCCCTCACTGTCGCTATCCAACCACAGGCCTGTGTTCCTGGGAAGCTCTGGCTGACAGACACCTCGAGGGCCATTATTCGGCCCAAGGTCATTGCGAACCCAAGGAAGGCCAGGAGCCAGCTTCTTAAACAACTTGATGATTGGCTCACGTGGAGATGGATGATCCCCGGTCACCATCCACGCAACAGGTGCCCACCCCAGGTGGAATCCCCCCTCTACTCTGCAGCTCATTGTACCCCCTCAAAAGTCTTCTGCGCCCCCAGACTTCCTCCTGCTCAACCTCCTCCCCCTCCTTCTCCTCTTCTGCACTGCCCTCTCACCCTGCAGATCCACTCACCTGTCCTTGACTCTGCTGTCTTCTCCCAGGGCTGCTCCTACCCCAGCCTTGGTGCACCACAGCCCTCTCCAGCCGTTTGCATGGGAGCCTCACCCAAAGAGCAGGCGGTATGTTCAAGCTTATTAGCTGCTGGATGTCACCTCCCTTTGCCTGTAACAGCCAGCCTAGCCCATCCAAACAAGACTATCACGATGGTACATACATCTAGGTGCATCTACTCAGCCAGTCAATCTTCAAACCAGCTTCCCAGTGGGTACAAATTGTTACTCAAACTCAAAATAAACAAGCAGAAAAGACAAATCCCACATGTTGTCTCTCACCCAGCAGAGACAAGACCTCCATAAATCATTGGTCTGTTTAAAGAGATCACTGGCCAAATGTATAGATCGTGAAACCAAAAGAAGCAGGCTCCAGGCTCAGCCCCCTTTAGCAGTGGTTAGGGGGGCAGCCACGTGCACTGAGGCTGGCAGGTTCAAACCCGGTTTGGGCCAGCTAAACAACAATGACAACTGCAACAAAAAAATAGCCTGGCGTTGTGGCGGGTGCCTGTAGTCCCAGCTACTTGGGAGGCTGAGGCAAGAGAATCACTTAAGCCCAAGAGTTTGAGGTTGCTGTGAACTGTGACACCACAGCACTCTACCAAGGGCGACATAGTGACACTGTCTCAAAAAAAAAAAAAAAAAAAAGAAGCAGGCCCCAGAAATCAAACAAGTACTCTAGATGTATTAAAGTCAGCTTTTCTTCACTGGAGTCTGGAGCACATGACACTCCAGAGGCGGCACTCACCCAGGGTCCCCTGCCTGGATAACCTGTTGGGAGCAGCCCACATAGGGCTTGGAGAAGGCATCACTACCTGGGTGCTGTAAGCAGGGGTGGGAAGAAGGGTCAGGGTACAAGTTCAGGGGAAACACATCGACCACGAAAAGAGATGATTTTATTCAAGCCACTGCAATAGGAAGGAAGCTCACTGGTGGGGACCAGCTCCAAGGAATGGGGGGCTGTGTTCCTACAGAGGCAGGTAAACAAAGGCGCTCACTGTTTCTCAGAATACAAAGGAAGGGGCAATTTCCCAGCCATCACTGTCTTTCTGGAGCTCAGGTGAATTTTGATATCATCAGTCAGCTTCCATGCTCACACCATACTCGTGCAGTGTGTGGGTTTCAGGGTGAGTACCTGCCTCTGTGCTTAGGTGGTCTGTGGGCTGTATGTGCTTGTTACGAGGTGGCTCTCATGGTGTCTGTGGGACAGGTGAGCTTCTTGCTGTGTCTACCTGTGCTTCTGTGTATCAGATGAGGTACGCGTGTGTGTCTCTGTTTGGAGACCAGGTCTCACTCTGTCTCCCTGGCTAGAGTGCAGTAGTGTCATCCCAGTTCCCAGCAACCTCAAACTTGTGGACTCAAGTGATCCTACTGCCTCAGCCTCTCAAGTAGCTGGGACTACAGGTGCCCGCTCCAATGCCTGGCTAGTTTTTAGAGATGAAGTCTGTCTCTTGCTCAGGCTGGTCTTGAACTCCTGAACTCAGGCGATCCTCCTGCCTTGGCCTCCCAGAGCACTGGGATGACAGGCCTGAACTACTGTGTCAGATCTGCAGAGTCTGTCTCAGTTGGCTTGGTGGGGGATGTGTTGCAGGCTGGGAGTAAGTCACTGTATTTCTGTGGGTGGCAGTGAGGGTGTGAGTGCCTGGCAGGATGAGGTGTATGTCTGGGAGTTGGGTGGAGGGCACATGCCTGCATCTGTGTTTCTGTGTCTGCTGTGCGTTGAGGGGTATGTCCCAGTGTGTCTATCTGATGCTTCTGTGTCTCAGGTGGGGGGGTACGTGTTTGTGGGTGAGTATACGTCTCTTTTTTCAGTGTGTCTTTGATTGTGTGTGTGTATTGTAGGGACTGTGTCGTCCTGGTGTCTCAATGTGTCAGGTGGTGAATATACGTGCATTGTATGAAATATATCCATTCGGAATCCCTCTGTATCCAGGGAAGTGCATATGTGTTGCAGAGTGTGTCTGTCTCAGTGTTTCTGTGCCTGGTGGTGTAGGTTGTGTGTTGCATTCTTTTCTCTCATGTCTGTGTGTCTGCTGGGTTTTGTGTGTGGGCCGGCGGTCTGTGTGTGTGTGTTGTAGTCTGTGTCTGTCTTTGTGTGTACATGTGTGACGTGTACATGTGTTGACATCTGTGAGTGGTCAACCGTTTTTTTGTGTTGGAAAGTAGGTGTCATTTCTGTGTAGTGGGGTGTTGTGGGTGGGTGTCCAGGTGCTTCTGTGTGTCTAGAGCAGTGTGTGTGTACTGGCAAACGAGTGTCCCTCTGTGTTCCCTTGGGTCCATTTGTATATGGAATGTGTACCTCTGTGGTTCTGGGGTTCTGGTGGGGTGTGTGTGTGTGTTTGTGTTGGTGTTCCTGTGTGTCTAGCAGAGAACGCATGTGTGTTCCAATGCCACTGTCTGCTGGCCTGGCCTCTCTGTATGGCTTGGGCTGCGTCCCACTTGAGATCAGGCTGGGCCCAGTCCCCACATTCCTCCTGCTCCTTTGTGCTCTGTGCTACAAAAAATATTTGCGTTTTCCACGACTCATAATTTTTCCTCCTCAATCGCTACCAGATGTGGGTCCTGTGGTCCCCGTCCCCATGGCAACGGAAGTTCCAGCAGCTGTGGTTCCCTTTTGTGGCGCCTGCCCTGGGAGCTGGCACTGCTTCGAGCCCTGAGGGGGTGGGGACGAGCGAGTTTGGGGAGGCAGGAGGGGTCCTGGCAGTTCCCTCCCCAAGTGGCCACCTGGACTCTCTTAGGGGGGCAGGTCAGGTCTCAAACACCTGGGGGGAATCTAAGAACAGGGGAGAAGGCCACAGGGAAAGCCTGGTCATTGAGACAGCACTGGTGTTCCTAAATTATGTTGCCCGGGCTAGAGGGAGAGCCAGTGGTGGAATGATGGTTCCAGCCTGGGAAGAGAAATGACCTAGGCAGTAGTGTGGCCTGAACCATCACATTGCCAATCTCCCCCCGACCTAGTCCCTGTTCTGCCCTCACTGAGCCTACCTGGGCATCTGTCCCCTCCTGGCCAACTTTCAGCCTGTGTCCTCAACCCCAGCAGCCAGCATGGCTTGGTGCCTGAATGGATCACAGACTGGCCAGCCACAGGGCCACTGCTGGGAAGGTGCCCAGCTGGCCCAAAGGAAGCAGCGTGGCCCAGAGACAGGCAGCCTGCACCGCACGTGCTGCCCCACCCAACCAGGCACAGGCACTATGTTCTGGCCAACTGTTCTGGGTAGCCTGCCTGGCTGGGGCAGGAGGCCGTCTCCACTCAGGTGGCTGAGCCCTTGTGTGAGTGATCAAGGTAGACCTCAGTGAGGTGTCCAGCCAGAGGATGAGAGTGCTGCCTAAATGAGATCCCCGAGCTGCCAGTGTTGTCAGATGACAGTGCTGGGCTGTCGACTGCAGGGTGATCAGAGGCTCTTGGCAACATCAGAAGACTGAGCTGGGTGTCAGAAGTCGGAGAAAGGCGGAAGGACAGGCAGAGGCCTGCTGGGCAGAGGCAGGTGGGAGGAACCCAGACAGCATGGCTGGTGGAACTTAGTTGAGGGCTGAGGGGGAGGATGTCAGAGCCATGGAAAGGTGAGGGTCTGTGGCTTCAGAAGGGCATTTAGGAGGCCTGCCTAAGGGGACCAAGACTGGTGAAGGTCCAAATGGTCACAGATAGAAGGCCAGGAAGCAGGGGCTGGCTTGGGGGCAGGGGCTCTGGGCCAGGCAGGCTCCCCCTCTCCCTCAACCTCCTACAGTGGTGGGGAAGGCGGGGAGGAGTTTCCGGCTGAGGACAAGGAGCCCATTGAGGCAGACAGCAGGGCTCTGTGCAGTGGCAGACTGTCTTGTTTATGCCTGAGGAGGCCTGGCTGGAGGCAGTGCCACTGGCCCCTGGGCTCGTCCACCCTCAAACCCCTCAACAGCTCTGAGTCCCAAGTTTAACAGCACCGGCCAGTGGGGAAGGCATAGATCAGAGGCAGGCCATCCCTCCTGCCCTTTCAGCCAAGAGACTCCTTCCAATCTGGGCTGACCCATCCTTCTCTCGAGTGACCAGTCCAGGGTATAGGAACATAAATTGGATGAGCGAAGGAGGACAGGTAGCCACAGCCCACTTCCAACCTGGTCTCAGGAGACTCACATCTTAGTTTCAAGGCTCTGCTTAGGAGAGGCCCTGGAGGGTGTACGTGCAGGCCAGGTGAGTTCTCCTGACCTTTATTTGGGGGGACATCTTTGCCCATAACCCGCAGATAGAAAGTTATCAAAGTACAGGGGGCGGGGGGAAGGCATTTTATTAAGAAAGCTTGGCCAAGCCCCTGCTGGGAGGAGCCCATCCTGGGGCACCAGGAGGGGCGGGAGCAGCCCTGCTGGGGGGCCTATAAATACATCTCCACAGGCCACAGAAGTCGCCCCTGGGGTCCCCACGGAGCGCAGGGCGGTGAGAGGCCATCAAAACCAGCTCGACAGCTGAGGGCCTGGCTGAGGGTGCCAGGGAAGGGAAGGTGTGGGGTGGACCGAGCCCCCAAGGAGCAGAGACCAGCCCTCCTCCCCAGGCTCTGGTCAACCAGATGCCCTGGAGCCCGGCCGGTGGACGGGAGCTTCGGGTTATCCGCAACAGCCGAGGAAGGTGCCTCTGGCCAGAGGTGCCAGGCCCTGGCCAATGAGAAGCAGCCGGGGCAGAAGAGCTCCTGACCTCAGCCAGTGAAAACGTAGCCCCAACCAAGTGCACGCGTGGCCATAAGCGGTGGTCTCTTGGCGAACCTCCAGTCCTTGGCCAGTGAGACGCGGATATAACTCGGCCAATTGGGAGTAGGGAGTCGCCAGCTAAGCGCCTGTCAGGCCTAGACCCACCGAGGCAGCCTTCCCACCAGAGCGCGCAGATCCAACCAAGCAGAGGCTGCGAGGCCTGAGCCAGTGAGACGCAGCCCCGCCAGGCCGTCAATGGGAGACCGCCGTGCCCAGGCCGCCCTGAAGGCGCCGAGCGCGGGGCGACAAGCGGTGCTGTGAAGCCTGGGGAGCTGCAGGCGCGGTCAGGCCGCTGCCTGCTACAGGGTGGGTGCGCTCGCCCTACCCAGTTCGCCCGCCGCCTCCCGGCTCTTCTTCCGCGGCGGCTTCTGGATGGGAGTCTTCTTCCGGGGAGTGTCGGGCGCGGGCGTACCGGTCACTGCCTTCTCAGGTCCTGAGACCTCGGGCACAGAGGGCGCGCGGGCCGGCGAGGCTGGTGGCACTGAGCGCTTGGCCTTTTGCGGAGGCGCCGGCTTCTCCCGGGGGCCCTGCGCGCCCAGGAGCCCCTCGGCGCGGCCAAGGCTGCGAGTCTTGCCGCGCAGCTCCGCGGCCAGCATGGAGGCAGCTTCCGGCGCGCTGCGTGGGGGACCGCCGGCGTCCGTGGGTTCCAAGAGGCCGGGGCCGCGGCCCCGCGTTCGGGCCCGGGGAGGCGAGGGCGCGGCAAGGGCCGTCCCCTCCTCGGCCAGCCCTGGGGGCCGCGGCGACAGGTCGCGGGTTTGGGGGCTTGCAGGCTCATCTGGCCGTGCTGATATGTCGCTGGGCGTCCGTTTCCTCTTGCTGGGGCTGGGCGCGGCCTCGGGGCCTGGAGGAGGTGGTGAGGGCGCTCGGGCAGCGGCGGCGGCTCCGTGCTTGCCGTGGATCCAGGACACCTTGGGCTTGGTGGCCGGGTCAGGAGGCGGCGGCTTCTTGCGCTCAGGCGATGGCGACAACGACAGGCCTCCAGCTTCTCCCCGGGCCCGGGCCGGCCGGGCCTCGCGCCGGGCCACTCGTGCATACAGAGCCCCACCAGGTCCCTCCACGCTTGACGCCGACCGCTCGCTGTCGGAGGACGCGCGGAGGGGCGTCGCCTCCTCGGAGGACGCCAGTGTGGTCAAGGGCGCAGGGTACCGCGCTGGCGCCTCGGCAGGAACCGCGGGGGCCTCCTGGTCCCGGCTCTCCGCAGCTGCCTCTGACGAGGAAAGAGCCAGGTGGTCATGGCCTCTGGAAATAGCTCCAGCAGGTCCAACCTCTAGATGCAAACCTTCACCTTCGCTCCTCTACCTCGCTCCTCCAGCTGGTGCTGTGTCACCCGGCATCCAGATGTGCCTGGTGCATTCGCAGCACCGGCCACGAGCTCTGTTCAGCACCCCAGAACCTGAGGCTGACTGCTGGGCTGGATAGGCACATTCTTGGAACTGAAGCCCAGCCTTGGCCCACCTGAACCCCTTCCTCCCACCACAGCCCGAGTTTCAGGAACCATCATCATCACATTTAACCTTGGAGCACCCCCAAGAGGATTCCATCATCACTTAAGAGGTGAGGGTTCTGCAGCTGGGAGGCTAGTCACCTGCCCACGGTCATGGGGGTCGGGGGTGGTCAAGGAAGAAGAGAGGCCAGAATCCTAGCCAGTCAGGCTCCCTGTGCTAACTGTGGGCCCCAGGCTGCAGGTGAAGGTGCACCCGGTTCTCTGATGAGCCCCTCCTCTTATCTCTTCCGCCATGCCCTACACAGGCCCAGAACTTCTCTCTCCATGGTTCTTCCCAGAGGTGACCTTTGGCCTTGGCTAGTGACAGAAGAACCCACCTCCCACACCTGCCACACTGTTGCTGAAGAGCACAGAATCCAGCTCTGTAACCTCAGTGGTGTGAGCAACCTGTGGTTAACAGCACTGCCATGCCCTCCTCCCCATGTGCCCCAGAGCTGTGGTCCCCAACCCCCAGGCCACAGATGGGTACTTGTGGCCTGTTAGGAACCCCGCTGAACAACAGGAGGTAAGAGGCAGACAAGTGAGTGAAACTTCTACATTTACAGCTGCTCTCCATCACTGGGATCTCACCCAGGCTCTGCCTCCTGCCCCCAACCCTGCCTTGGAAAACTGTTTTCCATCAAATCAGTCCCTGGGGCCAAAAAGGTTGGGGACCGCTGCCCCAGAGCACAGAGCTCTTTTGAGCTGGAGCATTTCACTGGGCTAGAGCCATCCCCAAGCATGGCCATACTCACCCTCATGTGGTACACAGTACACGGGGCCTTCATCAGTGGTGTCAAAGGAGGAGAAGGAAGCCCGGGATGACCAGGATGGTGAGGGCTGCTCCAGCCCTGAGGGCGGCTCCAGGAAGCTGCAGTTGAGTGTGTTATCCAGGTCGTGATGGGCCACTGGGGAAGGAGTGAGGCAGAGCTGCCAGGGGCCATGCCTTGCCCCAGCCTCATTAGCCCTGCTGCCATGAATGTTAACAGAGTGACCAAGAGCAGCCCTCTCCTAAAACTGCAGGTGGGAAAAGTGATTCAAAAGGTAGAGTGGCACTGGGCTGGGACCCAGGTATGGGTAGAGGTGAACCCAGTAAAGAAAGCAAAGGGGAAACGTATGTGAAGGTGCAGCCAAGAAGCTGAAAAAGGTGGGGTTAAAGTGTTGGAGAAAATCAGAAAGGTGGGAGATGGGGCTGGAGAGGAAAGTGCTTCAAGGTCTTGAAGGCCTGCATGCTATGCTTCAGACCCTGCTTTGTGGGACCTAGGGAGCCTTGGAATACTTTTGAGCCCAAATGTGCAGTGTGGCAGGGCTGCCCTTTGGCTCAGTGCATCTCAGCAGCCAGATGCCACAATGGGGGATCCCAAAAGCTGCCTGTCCTGGCCTCCATTCCACAGTTGTGATGTGGGGCCCAGTCCCCACACCTATGTCCATACCCTATGCTGCTGGGTGGGCCAACAGGTTTTTTCAACTGTGTCCTTTACATTCTAAGGATCTGAGCCCTCTCCCCTCTATCTTCAGAAATAAATGGAAAAGAGAGCGAGGCAGAAAGGGTCTGCCCCAGGTGTGAGTCAGCATAGAGAGGAACAGCTTGCCCACCCTTGATAGTGGTGGGTGGGGTAGGTGACTGAGAGACCAGCTTGCCCACTTTTCCAAGAGGAGCTCTGGGCACTGCTGGGCATGCAGGCAGGAAGGCATCTCATGTTGAGGCGGGACACTTCCATATACACGCCCAGGCATTCACCTGCAGCTCAGCCAGGATGTATACATACTCCTACAGACCCACCCCCACCCCGCAATCAGACATGGGACCCAACAACCCCACACATGCCCCACACTTGCCTGCACACCCAGGACTCCTGCCTTCCTCCCCGGCGTCACCCACATCAACACTCAAGAAAGGTGCCCCACTTTTTTATCTTTTCTTTTTTAGAAGACAGGGTCTCACTATGTTGCCCAGCCTGGTCTCAAACTCCTGGGCTCAAGCGATCCACCAGCCTCAGCCTCCTCGGTAGCTGGGAGTACAAGCGCGAGCCATTGCACCCACTTCCCAGCAGCTTTCTGCGTCGGGAGATGTTTCCCCCAGATACCCGGCGCTGCCATCCTTACCTACGACTTTGGGCAATTTCTGCCTGCGGAGCGGGATCCGGGGCAATTTCATGCTGATGCGACTGAAGCGCCCGCACAGTCTCTGCGGCGCCTTCTTCCTCCCGAGAGACAGCTCCCTGCGGGGGCGGGGCCTGAGCGCAAGGCGGGGCCTGGAGGGCAGTGCCACCCGGCAGAGCCGAGAGGGGGCGGGGCCCCGGAGGGGAGTACAGCGCCGCAAAGTGGCCCGGGAAGTAACTAAGAGGGAGAGGGACAGTTTCGAGCCTCACCGGCGTGTGGGGTCCTTGCTGCGGCAAGCGCAGCAGCAGCCGAGCAGCGAGAGCAGCAGGCCTAGGAGCAGGGCAAGCAGCGCGCCCGCACCCATAACTCCCTTGCGCTGGTTGGTCTCTGCAGAGGGGGCACCGGTTCAGCGCCGGTGCCAGCACCCCCTGCATTCGCTAACGGGACGACCCTCACCCACTCACCCAGGCGGCAGGCACCAGTGATCGGGTCGCACGAGTCTTCGTGACAGCTGCAGGCCTGAGCACAGTCCACGCCATGGAGACCGGGCGGGCACGTCACGTTACAACTGTGGGGCACAGGGTCAAGGCTGACCGCAGCCGCCCTCCCGGATCCCTCCTGCTCTCGCCCCGCCCGCGGACAGCCCGCCCGGCCCCGGGTCTCGAGTCTGTAACGACTGAAGCCCACCCCCACCTGTGGGCACACACTGGGTGGTCAAAATTTTGGAAATGAATGTGTGCACATTACCCGACTGCAGTGCCTATTTCTGAGGGTGAGTCTTGGGTAGGGGGGAGAACCTGCCGCACCAAACCCGTGGCTGTAAGTGGAGGAGGTCCTCGCTCCCTTTGCAACAACTCTAGGTCACCTTAGGAGCCCAGTGCTCCAAGCGATGGCTCCACATCAGGGTAGGAAACTGCCCCAAAGAGCCTGTTGTCACTCCCTAGCTGAGGTACAGCTGCGGCGATAGCCCGGCCCAAGGAGGAAAGGCCAGCCTGGATCCCAGTTCTCGGGTCCTAAGGTTCTGGCTGGAGCCACGCTGTGATGGGACATCCCTTCCACCCCCCTCAGGGTCCCAGGCACTCACTGGGGCCCGTGCACACCGGGGCTGCACAGGCAGCGCCCCGACTGGAAGTCGCAGTGGCCGCTGCCACAGTCCGCACACACGAAGGCGCAGTCCTCGCCATAAGTTCCATTGCTGCACTTGGTCTCGCACCTTGGAACGAGGGGAGGGGGCATCAGCAGAAATGGAGGCGAACGGCCCCAAAGGATACAGTGCCTTATGCGAAGAGTTTTCGTGCAGGAGGCAGAGCTGGGGGATTCGCGTCTGGGCCGATGCAGGCACGGCTGCTCACCGGTCGCCGATCCAGCCCGCATTGCAGCGCGTACACTTGCCAGTGACATGGTTGCAGGCATGTCCGTCGCGGCACGGCGGGCAGCGGTGGCTGCAGCCCTCGCCATAGAAACCGGTGGCGCACGGCTGGTCGCACTTGGTTCCGTTCCAACCGGGCTCGCACGTCAGGCAGCGGCCTTCAGCCACCGTACATGGCTGCTGGCCCTTACACTGGCCGCACCTGGAGAAAGGACCGGAGGCTGGGCGGGGCGGAGACCGGCCTTATCCTTGCCCCACCCCGGTCTGCCTTTTCCCTTTCTCCCTCCGCGGCCCGGCCTGAGCTTACCGGCGGCGACAGCCCAGTCCGTAGAAGCCAGCGGGGCACGGCTCGCGACAGTATTTGCCGCGGTAGCCCGGCTCGCAGGCGCACGTGCCGTCCACCGGGTGGCAGCGGCCACGGAAGCACTGGCAGTAGCGATCGCACCGCGCACCAAACGTGCGCTCACGGCACTGGCAACGGCCGCTCTGCTGCTCGCAGGGCGACGAGTTGCAAGCGCACTGATTGTTGCAGCTGCGACCCCACCATCCTGCATGGCACAGGCAGGCGCCAGTCTGTGGGTCGCAGCGCGACGTGGCGCTGCAGTAGCACGCGCTGGCGCACTGCGCGCCCCACCAGCCCGGCTCGCAGCGGCACGCGCCGCTCCGCGGGTGGCATGAGCCGTGCTGGCACTGGCACGCGTGCTCGCAGCGCGCTCCCCAGCGCCGTGCGTGACAAGTACACTGGCCCGTCACGTCCTCGCATTGCCCATGTGGGTGGCAGCTACACAACTCCTTGCAGTCGGGACCCCAGAACTGGCGCGGGCACTCTGCGGGGACGAGCAGAGGAGGTAGAAGGCCCAGGTGCTTGCATGGGTGCCCGGGCCTAGTCCGCCAGAATCTGCCAGTCTCCCCCTCCCTCCCCCGCTTGGGGACCCGCCCCCAAGCGGTCCCCGACCCAGCCCCACCCCCGAACCCCGCCTCCCTGCTCAAACCCCGCCCCACCCGGAGCTCACTAGTATCGCAGTTGGCACCGAAGTAGCCGTGGCGGCAGCGGCACTCGCCGGGCCGCACGCACACCTCGTTCTCCGAGCACGTAGAGTTGCCTTCACACACCGCTGTGAAGGAGACACGCTCGAATTGGCGCACGTCCTAGCCCCGCCTCTACCCCTGCCCAGGTTCCCTGGATGCCCCACTCACCGATCCCACACTCGTCCCCTTGCTGCCTCCAGCCTGCGCAGCACGTGGGCACCTGGGAGCTGAAAGCAGAGGAAGGACAACTAAGCCCGTCGCCTCTCCCCCAGCCTCCAGCTGCTCCGAGACTCCCCGGCAGCCTCCCCACCTCTGCCGTGGAGGTCTGTCCCTAGGGAGGTGGCTACCAGGGGTCGGAGACACCCAGCGCGCCGCGGAGAAGACACAAACCCCAGCGCTCCCTCCGCACTCTGCCTAACTCCTCTGTGTTCTCCTCCCACAGCTACTAGGCCTGAGAAAAGAGGCCCTGTGTCCCAGAAGGGGCAGCAATGAACTTGGGGGCTACGGAGAGGACCCTGGCCCCCAAGAGCTGCTCAAATGTGGGGATCTGGGGCATTCCTGGGCATGGGGGGGGGGGGTTCTGGCCAGTGGGTATCAGGGATCCAGATGTGAATGACCAGGACACCAGGATCATCTGTGCCAGAGGGACACACCTGGATGCCCAGCTGGGACAGCCTCTGTGAGGATTGGGTTGTGGACAGAGGTGACCTCTTGGCAGAGGAGACTTCTGGAGGGGGGTGGAGAAGGAGGTGGCACATGGGGGTCCTTCATGTGCAAAAGGAAAATCACCTGTGAGGGACCAGAGCACCAGGCAAGACTTGGGTAGAGGAAGGAGATATTAAAGCATCTATTTATGCTTATTGTTTTACTCTTGTTTCATTTTATTCAGTACGATTCAAAGTACATAATGTCACCTCAGCAGAAAGTAATTTCTAACAGTGTCACTTCAGGGGGGGTGCAGCCTCTTTTTTTTTTTTTTTTTTGAGACAGAGTCCCACTTGGTTGCCCTGTGTACAGTGCTGTGGCGTCATAGCTCACAACAACCTCAAATTCCTGGGCTCAGGTTATCCTCCTGCCTCAGCCTCCTAAGTAGCTGGGACTACAGGCGCTCACCACAATGCCTGACTACTTTTCTCTGTTTTGGGTAGAGAGGGTGGTCTCACTCTTGCTCAGGCTGATCTCAAACTCCTCTGAATTCAGGGGATCCACCGGCCTCAGCCTCCTAGAATGCTAGGATTACAGGCGTGAGCCACCATGCCTGGCCTGTGGTGCAGCCTCTAAAGCTGTGGGTGGATAGCACAAAAGTTTGTGTGTGGGCACAAAAGTTTGGAGGCCCTGCCAGAGTGGAGTCATGATGGGTGGAGAGGATGCCCAAGGGCTGAGCTGGAGTGAGCCCACACTTAGGGACCAGAGAAGCTCAGAAGGAACAGCCACTGAGGCCGCAGGTTTCTAGGGTCCCATCAGACTCAAAAGAACTTTTCAATCCTAAAGGAATGTAGCAACCATTCACACTTGAGAGAAAAGGAGTACAGTTCAGGAAGATCTGAATGTAGAACCAGGATGTACTGGTAGGAAAAGGGGGGGGGGCTGAAGAACCTGGAGGGGGTGTGACAGAGTGGGAAAGGAGAGGCCCTGCACACTCCTACCCACCCAACCATTCCCCAGCTCCAGATAATTGCCACCCCCTGGATAGGGCACTGAGGACCCAAGGGAGGACCTTCATCACTGAAAGGACTTGGTTCTCCCTCAGGCCAAGGGACCTGGAGAACAGGACAGTAACATCCCAGACTTCAAGGGATAGGTCCAGCGTGTTTTCCACTAAAACTGGAAACTGGAGACAGAAATACAAGCAAGGCAGGCCTGGCTTTTCCTGCCCCCTCCCATATTGTCTCCACCCACCCAGCCCTGGGGGCTCCCAAGTACCCCCTGGCAAGGAGACCCAAGTCTGCTAGCTCATCACCCTCCCATTTGTGCCTGGTTCTGAACCCTGGTCTCTAGATGGACAGCCTCTGCTGGTGTCCCGTTTGCAAGCAGCCTGCCAGATGGCCTGTTGGGATGGTCCTGGAGTCACTGACCTCCTTCTCCCCAGGATGGCCCAGCTGTATGGTTCTGGGGCTAGGAGCCTGGTTTTAAGACCACACTCAGCTAGATTGATCCCTGAGTCTGCCACTTGCTGTGCAACTTCAGGCATGGAGCTTAACCTGCTAAGCTTCAGTCTCCTTAGCTATACAATGGAGCCCTCGGGTTTGGCAGGAGGATTAAGAGAGCCAATACATACAGCCCAGACAAGTGAGTGTGTCGGGACATCTGGGGAGCTGGGAAGGTGTGTACAAAAAACAGCCATGGCTTTGGTTTAAGTTAGTCCCGCCTGTGCTGACCCTGGGAATCGTGGGAGTAGTTTCCAGGGAGTCCAAGTCTATCTGGTCTTCCCCAGTGCAGTGGGCACCAGACCTCACCCCAGCAAAGGGTAACACCTGCTGGCAGGGCACAGCTCATTTGGGTTCACCAAGAACAAGAGGCTTTCCTTCTTGGAAGGGCTGGCAGATCCGGCCAGTCTGGCATGGCAAGCCCAACCTCTGAAGATCTTAGGAAGGTGGGTGGGGAAGGACAACCTGGAGCAAGAGGGCAGTTCTCACGTTGGCTATGCAACTTGGTGATAACCATGGAGAGACAAGCTGTGGGCTGGGCCCTGAGTGATACAGGCTGCTTCTCTGTGGGTCACTGTGGTCAAACCCACAGTGACTTCTCCTGTGCTCAGGGCTGTCCCAATGCTCTCCCATCCAGGGAGACTTCTCTACCTGCCACACCTCCTAGCCCTCTGGACACCCCTCTTCTGGTTTCTTCCCTATCCTCAGATCTAGCTCCCTTAGGAAGTTCACTGGGTCCCACCAGGACACTGACAATGACTCAGTGCCAGACTTGCAAATCTAACTGCCTGCTGGACAAGATGTCACCGGCTTATCACCCAGGCTTGAGGGTGTCTCAGGCTGAACTGAATCCCCTACCTTCTCTGCACTCCCAGTCTTCCCAGTCCCAGGTAACTCCTGTCCTTCCAGGCTGGTGACATCTTGGAGACCCCATCTCTGTCTGACTCCTCTCTTGGGTCTATATCAGGTCCGTGGAGAAATGTATTGGCTCTGTCTTCAAAATTACATCAGGGACGGGACCACTTCTCTCTTGCCCTGCCCAGCCTGGCAAGAGTCACCTTCTACCTCCCTGGCTTCTCTTGACTTCCTAACTGGTCCTAGCTTGTACACGCCTCTCCCCAGCCCTTGAATGCCTCTGTCCCTAGCAGCCAACCATTGTCAGATCCCACCCCCTCCTCTGTACAAAGCCCCCTGGGGTTCTCATCACCCTTGGAGAAACAGTCTTCCAAGCAGGGGGCAGACCCCTTGTGGCCTGCCCACCCTCACTTCCCTCCTGGGCTCTACTTCAGAAGAGGCCTCTGGATTTGGTGCCTTGCCCCAGACACCACAGGGCCCCAGGCCTCCTCACCTGCAGGCCTGTGGAGCTCACTCACTACCTTCTGGGCTGTGGTCTTTCTGTATCACCTTAAAAAACCTGTACTCCCCAACTCAGCATTTCCCCAGCTCCCCAGATGTCCAGACAGATGAACTTGCTTTTCTGGGCTGTATGTCTCTTCCACCATGGGACAGGCCTTGGTCTTTGCTGCTGTATCCCTCCACCCAGCATAGGACTGGCTCACAGTAGGTGGGTGGGACCTTAGTGGCTGAGCGCTTCTCTCTGTGGGGACTCTTGCCTCCCAGGAAAGGGGATGAAAAGGGAAAGACTGGTGGAAGCCTTGCAAGGTATGAGAGGGTAACAAAGAGGTAGCCCAGGTCTCAGGTGCTCAGTGCCCCAGTGACTGCCCTTTCCAGTAACCCTGGCCACACATGATCACAGTAATCGTCCCTTAGCCCCATGAAGTGGGTGTGATCACCAGTCTCATTTTACAGAGGTGGACAGAGGGCCAGAGAGATGGACAGACTTGCCCAGGTCCACAGAGCTGGGCCAAGGTGCCACGATCATGACTCCAAACCCCAGCTCTGGGTTTCAGGAGTAGATCCTCCCCCATAGGGAGGTCTCCGGACAAGGGCAGCGGAGCCTGCTTGGAGCCTGCTGCAGAATCCCCATCCCCGACCCGGCCCCTGTTGGGGGAGGCGGGCTGGGGTGAGCAGCCAGGGCGGCTGGCTATCGAGCCCTCCCCCTCTCAGGCGCGGCCCCGCCCGCCGCCGCCGCTGCATTCCTGGGGCCGGGGAGGCCCGGGAGGCGGCTGTGGCGGCGTGGATGCGAAGCAGATGGCGGGCCAGGCCGGCCCCCGCCCCGGAGGCGGGACTCGCAGCGGGGAGGGGTCTGCGCGCCTCTGGACCCGATCTCGGAAACCCTGCGCGGCCTCTTCACAGCCCCTTGTCCGTGGCGACCGCAGAGATTCTGGACTCGGCCTTCCCGGCTCTGCCACCCGGGGCGCCCCGACGGTACCCAGCCTGGAGCCTCGAGGCCGCCTTTCCAGCTGCCAGCTCGTGCAGCGCCCCCCAACCCCGCCCAAGGCGCCCCCCACGCGCCGGCTCTACGCCCCTAAGTAGAGATGCCCTTGACCTCTCCGTGGCTTCTGACCAGTTGACCAGTTCCCCTGACCCTTGCTTCCACTCCTGGCGTCCTGTCCTGGGCACTTTGCCCTCCGCACAAGCTCCCGGGCCCGCCGGCCTCCGGCCCGGCCTGTGCCCTGCCGGTCCCACACTGGCGTCCTCAGCCGGCTCATGGCGCTCCACCTCTGTGCAGCCCCTTCACGCACCAAGCATCCCCACCTGGGGACCGCCGGGGTTTCCACACCCTCGCATCGCCTGCGTCTGTCGTTATCCTTCCTGACTCCCGCCTCTGGTCCACTCTGAGCACCGGCTCCGCAATGCTCGAGTCGTCTCCCCCCCCTCACCCGACGCCCGCACTCTTTCTCAGACGCGCATCTGTCTCTAGTCTCCCCTGTCCCAAGGCCTCCCGGGAGCGCCGTTCCTCCTCCCTGGGACACTTCTCGCCGCGCTCCAGGCCGAGGCACACTCCTGCCCGGCCTTCGCACCTGCGGTTCCTTCTGCTTGACACACCCTTCCCTGGCTTCTCACTAAGGCCTTCATAGCTCAGACCCGGGTCCTTTTCCCGAAATTTCGGACAGTGTGTCACCACTCTAGGAGCCCACGTCATTCCATTCTCCCTTCAGGTGACTTCTCGTCCAGAGTATCCTCAGATGCACTGTCGTGGCCCGTGGCCCAGAGGCGGCCTTGGAGCACAGCCGGCGTCGGGAGGCCTCTCCCACTAACGCCGGCAGCCACCGTCCCCCTGCCCAGAGCGTCCCTCTCATCCCTTCCCCCAGCCAGGCCGGGCTCCTACCCGAGCGCGCGGCACACGTTGCGGCCTCGCGGGTTCAGCTCCTGCGACGCCGCAGGCCCGGGCAGCAGCCAGAGCAGCAGCAGCAGCAGCAGCGGCCGCGACCCCCCGGGTCCCCAGCGCCGCGCCGGCCCAGCCCCCTGGGGCCCTGCGCCCTCCATGTGGCGCGGGGCAGGCGCGGGGCGGGCGCGGGCGCGGGTGCGGCCGCAGTGAGAGCGGCCGGAAGCAGAGTGCGAGGCCGGGCGGGGGGCGGCAGGAGGGGCGCCGGGCCGGGCAGGAAATTCCACATCGGCTCCCTGATCCCGGGCCAGCCGCGGCCGGCCAGGCGGCAGCGCCCGCCCCGTGCGCCAGGCCCCACCCTCCTGCCGCGCCGCCGCCCCTCCGCGCAGCCCCCGCCTCCATGCTGCGCTCGCAAACTTGGGGACGAACTTGGAGGGGCAGCCAAGGCCTGTCGGAGGAATCCCCTTTCCCTCGCCTTTCCTCCCACTCCCCAGACGTCCTCCCCGCCCTCCAGAAGCTGCCTCTGCGCGGCCAGGCCCGTGGCGGGAAGAGGGCAGGAGTCACTGACAGAACCCCAAGCGCTCCCAACTCCAGTACCTCGGAACCCGCCAGGGAGCCTCCAAGTGGCCGGCCCGCAGACGGCCCAGGTGGAGGCTGAAAGTCAGCTCTGTGTCTCCCAGAGCACGAAGCCCTTGTATGTGTTAGGCCTAAAGTTACTAGAAACTAGGACCACAGTGACTCCATCTTAGGGCAGCCCTTTGCCCACCCCTGGGTTAGACATTCTGAAAATTTCCACTGAGCACCTGATGCAGGTTGCACTTGCCCACAATAACCACCAAGTTCCACTTCTGTAAACGAGCTTGCTCACTTTGCTAGACACCTAGAAAATCCCAAAGCCCTAAAGTCACCACCCACTCCCCGTCCTTGCACCTCCAACCCCTTTAAAACCCCCCAGCCACTAAAGCTTGGCTGCTGTCTGCTGCAGTCTTACAGACTCGGGGCAGCAGGTCCATCGATCTAACTAAATACTGTGTCACTTTTAAATTTAACTGAAGTGTTCCTCCTTCATGGCTTGCTGAGTGTGCCTTCTGTTCTTCCCACGTACTAGGTGCAATCAAAGAGCAAAGCCTGGACAAGGCAGGATGCTTCAGGCCTGTGGGTAAACGAGGTCTGGACCAGAGGCCTGGGGGAAGGGGTCCCCATAGGCACAGCTGACAAGGATGCTTGGGGTGGGGGTAGAGTGGCCCAGCTGTGGACTGGGACAGAATGTGAAGATGAATGAGGGAGGAGGGGTGCTCTGGGCTGAAACCCTGCAATCCCTACTAAGGGGTAAGGAGGGCTGGGGTGCCTGGCAGATGGACTTTGCTTCAGAAGGCTGTTGCAGGTCCAGTGGGAAAGGTCCAGGAGGTTAAGTCAGGGCAGGAGAGTGGGAACCCCTGCATGAGGCAGGGTGGGTCATAGCACAGAGCAGAGGGAAGAGAGTGCAACAAGGCCAGTGCCAGGACCTGGGGAGCCAGGGAGCACAGAGGCTGGGAAGCAGCAGGGTGCCAGGCCCGCTGTGGAATAGACCCAACCTCAGGCCCAAGGAGCAGGGAGGTAGGGTAGGAAGCATGAACACCCCCTGTGTGTGGCCAGTCCCAGGCAAGGATGAGTTTGTCCTTTGGGCCTGAGCAGGGAGCTGGCATCTGCTTTCTTTGGGAGTCAGGCTGCAAGTGGCCAGAGGCTCATGAGGGTGGGTAGGCAGAATCTCTTGGGATGTGGTGGGAGGATGGCTATGAAGGGTGGGGTGCAGGTGGGGGCTGAAAAGCCCCCAAGGCCATGGGTATCACCGGGCTAGGAACGGGCATGAGGAGAAAGGAGCAGGGTGGGAACTTGGGCTGGACTGATGCCAGAGGGAGGTGGGGTGGGCTGGAAGGCAAGTTGAACCAGTGCAGTCACAAACTCAAACACTTCTTGGGGACAAGTAAACAGGCCAACCACTTCTGGGCAGCTCAGTCCGGGCACAGCCCTAACCTCAGCAGTGTCCTGCCAGTAATGGGGCTCCTCCCAGAGGCTCCTGCTGGCTGCCACCAACAGAGGCCAGCACAGGTCCTTGTAGTGGCAGTGTCTGTCACAGCCCAGTTCCTGGCTTTAGAAGCACTGGCTCCCTGGGCTGGAAGAGACCCACCTGGACTGGCCCAAGTGCATGAGCAAACTCCACCACCTTCTTTCCCCTCCCCCAGAACTGTCTCCACCTCACCTCTCTATAGGAGATGGATGATACCCCCACCATACCCACTGCTAGGACCTCCAAAATGTCTCACATCTCTCCCACGCTATCTGTGTGCCACCTAGGCCTTTCTCATCTCACATCTGGCTGACCCCACTGCCCTCATCCCACTCAGACCCATAGTTCCATGGGCAAACCCATCACAGATACCTTGCAGTGGATGGCACCACCAGACCCCTAGTGGGAGAATGAGAACTCAGGGTGAAGGGCTGGGTTCACAGGCACCCAGATGACTGACTACCAGGCAAAGTGCAGAAGCCCAGAGCCCTGCCAGCTACTCCTGGCCAGGATGGCTGCCAGGAGGAGGCAGGCCTTTGAAGGGTGAGGAGATCTTGCATGAAACCAGGGCCTGAGAGCCAGGCCACAGTGGAGAGCCCAGGCTGGGTGCCCTGCCCCAGGGGCAAGAGGTGGTGTGGCCATGGAAACCAAGCTGGGCCTGAGGCTGATAGCGGCTGGGCCACACTAGGCCCAGCTCCCCAGCCCCTCCCCGGCTGTTTGCCTTTGTGGGGTCTTTCTGCCCCCTGTCCAGGAAGCCTGTGGCTATGCTTGGTGGCTTGAGTGGGAGAAGGTGCTGGCAAGCTCAGGACATACTGGAGAGAATAGAGAGAGATTTCTGGTGCTCTCCCCTTCCAGAAGCCTCTGGGGACTGCAGGAACTGGTACCCTGGCCTGCCAGGTAGTGGTGGAGACACAGGAAGTGCTGGGCCTGAGATCCAGAGTGGGGTCCCTACTGCAAGCCCATGTTCTCACAGAGGAGATGACACTGGTGACCTTACCAAGGGGCAATAAGCCTGCTACCTGAGAAATCACACTCCCACATGTACCCTGGATAGTGAGGAAGGTTGCTGACACATGGCCCTGAAGGGAATACTACTCTGAGGACTTCACTTCCACCCTCAAAGCCCCAGGGGTATCCAGACAGGAGAGCCCAGAGTGACTGATGCCTGCTCTCCACGTCCCATCCTCCATCAAGGACTACACATTGCCCTTGACTTCTCCCTTCTGTGACGGGGTACCAGTGAGAAGACCAGCAAACTAGGGAAGGCCAGGCATTTAGGAAGTCCCACCCTGGTCTGTGGGGGCTCCCTGCAGGAGGCCTGTGGTGAGCTTGCAGGTACGTATCTACAGCAGGTAAGAGAAAGCTTTTGTGGCCTGGCTGTGTGGCCAGGCTGATGTGGACCTTCTAACCCATCTGTGTGGGGCACAGGCTACATTTAGAGGCCTCAAGAGGATGGGGAAAGCACTGGTAAAGGTGAACAGGGCAGAGTTCCATCTGCTGTGCCAGTGTGGGCCTGAAGACAGAGGCCGAACTGTCACCTAGTGAGCCTGTAGGAAATGCAGCTCCCTGCCCCCATCACACTCAGCTTCAGGTCAGAGGACAGAGGCAGCAGAGCCACCTTCCCTTCCATCAGCCCAGGCCCCTATCTCATCACGACCTGACCTTCTCCCCCGACGCTCTCTCCCTCCCAAGGTGCCCAGGCTCCCATTCCCTGACACTCAGGCTGGGGCTTTACTTGGGACCAAGAGATTTCTAAGTGGAGCTGGGCAGAAATTCAACAGGCACCCAGGTGAGGAGAAGAGCCCCACACCAGACCAGACCCACTGGGCTCCAGGTGTCCCAGTAACTTGGGGAGTTTACTGTGCTTCACTCCTGGGCAGGGTCATAGCCTCTTGGTGACACCTGGCTTCTGGCCTTGCCTCCCATACCACTGCGTGTCCCCAATGTCAGCTCTGACTCCAGAAATCTGCACCGCCTGGGGACCTGCTGTGTGGAAAGCAACAGAGGCTATGGTCACAGGAAAAGTTAAGACCTTTAGTAAGATGATTTATTTCATTTTTCAACACGGGATCAGAAAAACCCAATGGTAGAACCAGTCCCAGGCAAGTTTGTGTATCTCTGCTCCCTTTCTGCCCCTGGGAGCTCTCAATCTCCCAAGCCCCAACTGTTCACCCAGCCCCACCCAGTTCATGGAAAGAGATGTGTGACCTGTCTCAGGCCCCACACCCTAGGCTGCCAGATCCCAGGTTCCTTTGGAGAAGGGACCTCCTAAGCCCTGCAGGCACCAGATCCAGGGACAGAGGGGGGAAGGCTGAGCCAGCTGGTGACAGGGCCCGCTGAGGAGAATGGGGCCTTGGCAACTCCTTCAAGGATGGAAGCCTTTCAGGAGGATTTCCCATTGCAATGTGATCCACAGCCACAAAATACATGGCCCTGCAGACACCTGCAGTAGGCAGCCAAGGGGCTGGTGTGAAGATAGGGGGAAGGGGCCAGTGAGCCACAAGTGCCAGGGGCAGTGCCCCTGCTCTGAAGTAAAGTGCTCTGGCCTAGGCCACATGGGCTTCATGGCCCTGGCAGCTCCCACCCCTCCCTCTGAAACCAGGCACTGGGAGCCTAGTCCTCACTAGAGTTGTCAAACTCTTCCCAGTCAGACACACTCATCACCTCGGAGGCGAAATCTGGGTCACCCTGGCTGCGGTCGGGGGTCCCACGGGGTGGCTCGAGCAGCAGGGAGCGGGGCAGGGTGAGCACGCAGGCTGCCAGGCCAGAAATGGAGTTGTCCAACTGGGGTCCCTCTTCCCAACAGTCCTTCTCCACATCGTAGATGTGCACGTAGCCCGTGCGACTGCCACGGTTGTGAGAACGGCCACCCAGCACGTAGATCCTGTTGTCCAACACAGCAATGCCAGGTTCACCGTGCCCAGCTGGGAGTGGGCAGACAGATGACCACTGCCCAGATGTGCAGCTATAGCAGGCCACCTGCAAAGCCAAGACCAGAGTAAAGCCAAGCACCTGCTAGGAAGGGGCTGCCAGCTACTGCTCCCTCTCTGCAGGCCTGCTGACCAGGGCCACTCTCTCTGATAGGCCAGCCCCCCTGATAGAACAGCCCAGGGC